ACATGGTCTGTACTGTGCTGTACTATGTGTGTTAGTGGTGAGTGAAAGAGAGAGTGGAGGAAGTAATAGAGAGAGGGGAAGAAGTAAGAGAGAAAGAGAGAAAGGAGAGAGTGGAGGAAGTAATAGAGAGAGGGGAAGAAGTAAGAGAGAAAGAGAGAAAGGAGAGACTGGAGGAAGTAATAGAGAGAGGGTGGAAGAAGTAAGAGAGAAAGAGGAAGTATTAATCCCATAACCGTGAGTCGTATATCTCACCACTTGTCATACTAATATACTAAAAGTAATAATATAATCCTTATATTCTCCAATAATCACAGAGAATATATCCTTCAAGCAACATATCTGAGTATATTTCGTAAAGGTGTAAGCCAAGCGATCGTTGAAGGTTGTATCATCCTCTTAACATACTGGCGCATATCTCAGGGAGGATAGGGAGTAAGTGTAACCCAGGGAGAGCGAGTATAACCCAGGGAGAGCGAGTATAACCCAGGGAGAGGGAGTATAACCCACGGAGAGGGAGTATAACCCAGGGAGAGCGAGTATAACCCAGGGAGAGCGAGTATAACCCACGGAGAGGGAGTATAACCCAGGGAGAGGGGGTATAACCCAGGGAGAGCGAGTATAACCCAGGGAGAAAGCGAGTATAACCCAGGGAGAGCAAGTATGACCCAGGGGAGAGGGAGAGGAGAACTCCAGGGAGAGCAAGTATGACCCAGGGAGCATACCAGAGGCGAGCTTAAGACAGCCTGCCAGCCTCTTTCATATCCTAAGAAGATCTGGCTGGTGTGTGAAGTGGCCTTGTACACACACGATGCCCTACACACACACACACACACACACACACACACACACACACACACACACACACACACACCTTCCTAAAACACAACAGACGACTAGCAGGGGTGTAGGAAGGTCAATTAGGGGTGGAGGAATGTGAGAGGAGAGTGGGGGAAGGGAGGGGTAAGAGAGAGAGGGTGAGATTAGGGAGAGAAGGGGAGGAGAGAGAGGAGAGAGTAAGAGGAGGAGAGAGGTGGAATTAGGAGAAGGTGAGATGAAAGAAGGGGTGAGAGACAGAGGGATGAGTGAGGAGAGAGAGGAGAGAGAGTAGGGACAAGAAAGGAGTGACAGAGAGGACAGACAGGAAAAAGACAAGGATAAATATAAAGAGAAAGAAAGAGGGGAGATAAACGGAGAGAGAAATAAGAAGAGGTAGGGGAGAAATAGGAAGAGAGATAAAAAGAGATATCTAAGAAAACGGATGAGAGAGAGAGAGAGAGAGAGAGAGAGAGAGAGAGAGAGAGAGAGTAACAATGAGGGGAATGGTGAAAGAAGAAGGGAGGGAGAATAAGAGAAGAAATAAAGAGAATAGGGGAAAGCGATATAGAAGAATGAAGGAGGAAGACCGAGAGAAGGAATAAAGAGGGAGAGAAAGAAAAGAGAATGACGGAGGAAGAAGAGAGCAAATAGACAAAGGATACAACTTAAAGAGATATTTTGGATTCATAGTTAGTGTGTGTGTGTGTGTGTGTGTGTGTGTGTGTGTGTGTGTGTGTGTGTGTGTGTGTGTGTGTGAAATAAATACAAAGATAAATACAATATAAATAAAGTAAGAGACAATAAGACGTACAGAGACATACACAGACAGACAGACAGACAGACAGACAGAGAGTGAGTGAACGAGTCAGAGAGAGAGAGAGAGAGAGAGAGAGAGAGAGAGAGAGAGAGAGAGAGAGAGAGAGAGAGAGAGAGAGAGAGAATCGATATAGTTGGAGTGATGAAGAGGAGGAGTTGAGCTCCAGAGAGAGAGAGAGAGAGAGAGAGAGAGAGAGATGTTAAAGAGAGATAAATAAAAATATTAAAGCGTAAACAAGAAGGAGGATACTGTCTCTTGGAACAATATTTCACCTCTGCGTGACGGGGATGTGTCAGTGATAAAGAGAACGGTAATGTAGCGGGAAATGAAGGAGAGGAGGAAAGGGCACAGAGATGTAGAAGCAGAGAGAGACAGGAGAGGGAGGTCGGGAGGAAATGGCTTACAGGTGTAGAAGAGAAGAGTGGACACGAGGAAAAGGAAGAACTGAAATAGAAGGAGGAAGAAGAAGAAGGTCAGGAGGAATTGACAGATGTAGAGGCGGAGGGAGAGACACGGAGAGGGGGAGGAAGAGGAGGGTGAGGGAGAAATGACGGAGAGAGGTCCAGGAAGATGAGAAGGAGATGGAGAAACAGGAAGATGTAAAGAGGGTAATAGGAGACTGCAGGAGAGAGAGAGAGGAAACGAAGATCAGACAGTATAAATGGAAAGAGAATGGGAGGAAGATAATAACAAAAGGAAAGGTTAAAAGAAGTTGTAAATAAAGAAGAATAAGAAGAGGAGAGAAACACGAACACAGAAGAGAAGAAAAGTGAGGAAATGGTGAGGGAGGGAGGGAGGAGGGAGAGGGAAAGTAGGGTGGTAAAGTTGATAGGTTGGGAGAGGGGGGGAGGGAGGGAGGGGGAGGAGAGGGGGGAGGAGGGGAGAAGGGATGTGGAGGAGGCAGAGAATAGGAGTCTTTGGTGATGGGTGATGGGGAGAGCCGGGAGGTAGGAGGAGAGGAAGGAAGGAAAGGGAGGGAGGTAGGAGGGAGAGGGAGATGGGGCATAGTGGATTGGGAGGAGAGATGAAGTGAGGGAGGTTGAGAGGGGAGGAGATGAGGAAAGGAGAAGACATACGAAAATAGAAATAATACATTGCAGAATAATAAATAGGAAGATGAAGAATAAGAGAGAGAGAGAGAGGAAGGAATGAAGGAAGAGAGGAAATGTAAAATGAAAGTTGAAAAAAGAGGAAAAAAAAGAGACACTTGCGATGAAATGTAAATGAAAGCGAGACTGAAAGAATAAGATGAAGAGACGCTAGTAAGAAGGCGAGAGAGAGGGAGAGGCGAGAGAGGGAATGTGAGGGGTGTGGGAGAGGGAGAAAGAGGGAGTGAGGGAATGATGAGAGGTAAAAAGGTAAGAGGGGTGAGAATGAGAGAGAGAGAGAGAGAGGGAGGGAGTGGTGAAAGAGAAGGGGGAGGAGAAGGGAGATGAAGAGAGAGAGATGAAGGGAGAGGGAGGGAGAGGAAGGGAGGTAGTGAACGCCCAACACAGGGAGACAACACTATCGAAGCCTCCCCAATATGTCACCCAGTCTGGAACTATATTCACGATGGCTTAACAACCTAACCTCTCCTGAGACCAACATCCACACCTTCATCCATCCTCCACCCATACCTTCATCCATCCTCCACCCATACCTTCATCCATCCTTCACCCATACCTTCATCCATCCTCCACCCACACCTTCATCCATCCTCCACCCACACCTTCATCCATCTTACACCCACACCTTCATCCATCTTACACCCACACCTTCATCCATCCTCCACCCATACCTTCATCCATCCTTCACCCATACCTTCATCCATCCTCCACCCACACCTTCATCCATCCTCCACCCACACCTTCATCCATCTTACACCCACACCTTCATCCATCTTACACCCACACCTTCATCCATCCTCTACCCACACCTTCATCCATCTTACACCCACACCTTCATCCATCCTTCACCCACACCTTCATCCATCCTCCAAACACACCTTCATCCATCCTCCACCCACACCTTCATCCATCTTACACCCACACCTTCATCCATCTCCCACCCACACCTTCATCCGTCTTACACCCACACCTTCATCAATCCTCCACCCACACCTTCATCCATCTTACACCCACACCTTCATCCATCCTCCACCCACACCTTCATCCATCCTCCACCCACACCTTCATCCATCCTCCACCCATACCTTCATCCATCCTCCACCCATACCTTCATCCATCCTCCACCCACACCTTCATCCATCCTCCACCCACACCTTCATCCAACCTCCACCCACACCTTCATCCATCCTCCACCCACACCTTCATCCTCCACTCACATCCATCCTCCAGCTGCCTCTATCAAACAGTTTTTATAATTTTCTTCAATAAATTCTTTCGCTAAAATTCAAACCTTTTTTTCTTCGAAGATTTTGCATAAATTTTCAGTATTTTATTCCTTGTTTCGTATCAAACTCTTATTTTATTTAATATTTTTTATGTGATACAAATGGATTTCTTTTCTTTTAAATCGAAGTTATTTTATTTTATTATTTTTATTATTTATTGGTGAATAATATAGATTGCTTTAAGCATTTGTTCGTCACGTAAAATATAAAAGGGTGTCTCTTTGGTTTCTGCTGTGACCGACTTGCTGAACAAATCTACGTTGCAAATCTGAGAAACCAGAACTTCTGCGGCCGTATGAAACCATGACTGCCACGCACAACGAAAATGTCGCCAATAAAAGTCCTGCGTGTATTGTGTAGCCTCGGAAGACGCATCCCCCGCACACGCATCCCGAGGAGGAATCCCTGGATCGCCAAGTCCTTAGCCACGTGTCCTGTTGCCCCCCACAGCTCTCCCCTGTCGCCCTCAAGACCCGCTGTTTCCTCTCTCTTTTTTTTTCTTCTTTCGTTTTAGTTTACCAATCGCGTCCAAGTTCATTATCGGATGTAATGGCTAGAGACAAGTGATGCCTTAGACATTGATGGTGTGTTGGGGAAGACACAGGGAGGGGAGTGGGAGGTGGTGAGGAGGGGAAGGGGGTAATGTTTTTCGCCCTTGTGGTGGTTTCAGTAGAGTAGTGTTAGGGATGGAGTCGCATTGAAGGTGAATCATATTGATAGGTAATAGTATAGTGAGGATTACCAAGGCTCAGATAGGAGAGCAGGCGACGAGGGGGCCACATCTGCTACCGGGATTTTAGCATTATCGATTTTCGGAGCAACTGGAGAAAAGTGCTCCAAGGTTATAAACAGTTTAGTGTAAATAGTGTCCGTGTATGATCCTTTGCGCAATTTAACTCCTTCTGTAGGAAAAGCTCATTCCATCGAATCTCCTCAAGATTGTACGATAATTTTTCAGGGTGGGATGGCAACTGTGCGGCAGTGTACCGGCAGACGTGGCAGCGTGCGGACCTCTCGCCCCGCTCTCCCTCCGCCTCCGTCTGTTTCACTCCAGGACCACAACTCTGTATTGTTGACAGAGCCGCTTGTGTCGTCTCCCTCATGATAACACTGATATCTTGTGTCTCTTAACTTACCACACGACGTCATGGATTACTGTGCAGTTTAATAAGTGGTGAAATGATCTTTAAGAGTGTGTGGTGCAGTGTGGACCAGCCAGTGAGTAACATGGTATAGTGACCAAAGGCTTAAGTCAGGACGCCGCCCGTATATCCACACAATAGACCTGCGACTTACCCGACGTCACCATGAGGGCACGAGCTCCCCCTGTATGGGCGTGGGCGGCCTGCGTGGTGCTGGTAGTGGTCGCGGGCGTGGTCAACTGTGAATCACTTAAGAAGACGCCGACTATTGTCACCAAATACGGACAACTGAGCGGGTTCTTCCGGCAAGTAAGCGGTTATGGGATGCGGGTGGCCACTTACCTCGGGGTACCATATGCTACGCCCCCGGTGGGCGCCAACCGGTTCAGCCCCACCCGCACGCTGTCCCAGTGGGTAGGCGTGCATGAGGCTACCCAGTTCGGCCCTGCCTGCCCCCAGCGCCTGCCTGACATCTCCAATGAAACCGCGGCGTTAACCCGGATGTCTCGTGGCCGCCTGCAGGCCCTCCGACGCTACCTACCGGCCCTTAGACGCCAGAGTGAGGACTGTCTCTACCTCAACCTTTACGTCCCTGATGAAGGTAAGCACCTCACTTATCTGTCTCACACTGCACGTCTCTTACAGAGGTAAGTAATCTATGCCCGTATGTGTCTTGCCCCGCGGACACTTATCACCGTCTCCACGTCCCGCAGAGCCGATAAGAACGAGAACTGTGTCTACGGTCCACCACACCTTTCTGTTTATCCTTTTTCGTCCGTGCGTGAGGCCAGACCTAAACAAAAGTGGTGAGTCGTGTAACTTGACAATGGTGGTAAATGGCTCTATTGTACCCAGCTCTTTACCTTCTGTTAGTCTCTGTTTGTGACATAAGAATCGTGTGCTGGAAAAAAAAGTTGTGTAGTTTTCTCCACTCGAGTCTCTGTGTTGGGAGATGAAAGAGGGTATTTAACCTCAGCCTCGACACGTGCTAAAGAGACGGTGATGCAGGTGGACCTTTCCTCGAGTGTATGAGAGAGTAACCTTAAGGTGAGGGACAGAAGGAGAACCTCTCACTTTAGACTCACAGTGTGGAGGGTGGTAGATACCTCACTTTAAAACCACTCAAGAGAAAATCTATACAGTTTTTCCTCCCGAAAGAGAAGAAAAATTACAAAAAAGCTCGTCATTATTGTGTGTCGCCCGAGAGGACATGGTGGTGGGGGTCAGAGCAACAGGATTGACATTCTGGGTAAAACTTCACTTTACCTCCACGAGTCTCTCTTTACTACACAAAAGCCGTCTAGTCATTTTTGTTGCCGTTTAATGTTTCTTCATAGATACAATAATTAATTTCTAAAGTCTTCTAAGTTACAAGTTTGATTCAGATCTGAGAATGTTAATCCTTCCTCACTAAAGGCTCCATTTTTGTTTCTTTTTGGTAAATCTAAAATATTTTCAGTTTTTTAATAAATTTCAACAAATATTAATTTTCTATCAACCAAATGGAAAATATGTATCTATAAAACAGTCGAAAAACTCTCCAGGTTGATGAAGTTGATGCGTTGAATAATTTATTGTCGAGTTATTTGACTGAAGAAAATAAGTGAATAACATCTGTTAGTTCGGTCAGCCGCGAGAATCGATGGCAGGAACCAGTCGGGATGGGTCCGGAGGTTGACGTATCCGATGGCAGCCGAAAACCGGTCAACTTTTCCTCTCATTAAACTCGACTGTAATTGATAGTGAGGACCCTTGACCCCCGGCAGGATAGTGAGGACCCTTGACCCCCGGCAGGATAGTGAGAACCCTTGACCCCCGGCAGGATAGTGAGAACCCTTGACCCCTGTGGGATAGTGAGGACTTGACCCCCGGCAGGATAGTGAGAACCCTTGACCCCCGGCAGGATAGTGAGGACCCTTGACCCCGGCAGGATAGTGAGAACCCTGACCCCGGCAGGATAGTGAGAACCCTTGACCCCTGTGGGATGGTGAGGACCCTTGACCCCGGCAGGATAGTGAGAACCCTTGACCCCCGGCAGGATAGTGAGGACCCTTGACCCCCGGCAGGATAGTGAGGACCCTTGACACCCGGCAGGATAGTGAGGACCCTTGACCCCCGGCAGGATAGTGAGGACCCTTGACCCCTGTGGAATAGTGAGGACCCTTGACCCCTGTAGGACAGTAAGGACTCTTGACCCCTGCAGGATAGTGAGGACGCCCGTGAGGACTCCTAACCGCTGCAGGATATTGAGGACGCCCGTGAGGACTCTTGACCCCGGCAGGATACTGAAGACTCCCGTGAGGACTCCTAACCGCTGCAGGATATTGAGGACGCCCGTGAGGACTCTTGACCCCGGCAGGATAGTGAGGACTTTTGACCCCGGCAGGATACACACACACACCATCTTTGTTTACAACTCTTACAAGTGAAAAGGATTAAAAGGATTAAATCTATCCTACACCTTTTTGGTGAATCCTTCATTCTTGTCTCTGGTATTGTCTCGGGATTCCTTTACGGGATTTCCAAGATGAAATAAAAAATCCAATTGGATTCTTTTCAACTGTAGGAATACAAAGGATCAAAAGGATTAGATCTATCCTGCACCTTTGTTTTTAAATCCTTTGGGTTTGCCTCAGCATTACTTTACGAAATGAATGTTAAACTGGATTTCCAATATATAGACAAAATCCTTCTGGACTCTTGTTAATAACGGTAGGAATTCAAAGGATTTATAGGATTAATTTATCGTACACCTTTAGATCATTAATCCTTGGTTCTTGTCTCAGGTGTTGTATCATTATTCCTTTACGAAGTCACATGTTAATAATAATCAGTATTAAAGATTTTTCATCGCGGTTCAGTAATCTCTTAAGCCGGACCCAATTGTAAGCCAGGTGAGAGACTTGAAGAGACTAACAGAGATACAATAATATGCCAGGTGAGAGACTTTGAAGAGACTGAGAGAAACTACCAATAAACACACACACACACACACACACACACACACACACACACATATGAAAGCTTTATACATTATTGAAAGAGGTCGTCACTACTCTCTCCATCTCCTTGATTTGTTGTGAGAAGGTCGTACCGAGTTTGATTAGCCAGTCGATAGACCTGTTGGAGGGTGACCTAGCTAACCCTTATAGAGTGATTGGAATATAGTGGTCAAGTTATAGTCGAATATAGAACTTTATACAGCTTTCTTGAACTGTATAGTGCGTTATGGTGTTGTGGTGGTTGATATATGAGACAGGTTAAGCTAATCTCAGGGTGAGTGAGTATGGTTTAGTGTTATAGTGATTGGTATTTGTAGTGGTCCACTGGCAAGAATTTTAAGGGGTCCACGGGGAGATTTTTAGGGAGTCCATGGCAAAAAATTAAGGTATTATATGGTAAGATTTTTAGGGGGTCCATGGCAAAAAATTAAGGTATTATATGGTAAGATTTTTAGGGGGTCCATGGCAAAAAATTAAGGTATTATATGGTAAGATTTTTAGGGGGTCCATGGCAAAATTTTAAGGGATTCATGGCGGACTATGAAAAAAATCAATGAAATCTGATAAATTAATGTTAAATGGTTTTACTATTTATTCCAACTTGAGAAGATATTAAACCAACCTTCCCACTGAGCAGAGAGAGAGAGAGAGAGAGAGAGAAAGAGTGAGAGTGAGAGAGATGAACTTGACTCTTCCCAATGCAACTCAAGTTTACTGTGAGCCTAAATGATGTGAGATAATGCTGAGTGAATTCCATTGATTATGTCATTATGTGATTACTAATTATGGGGGTCAAATTATAAACGAAAGCTGTTCTATTCGTCTGAGGATAAGAATCGTTTTTATTATTATTATTATTATTACTTAGATTTTTAGACTTGAATTACCTAATTTTATGATTATTTTTTATTGACATTTTACACCTGGATGACCTACAGGTAAAAGGTATTTGAAGTGTTGTTGGAGCATTCATATTATACTTTCTCCATTGTCTTGTCTTTATCGTTTTGCTTCCTTTTATTACTAGCCCTTTCTTTTGTCATCACTTTCTTTCTGATATTCCTTTCTCTCAATGAAATCCCTCTCTTTTTGACATCCATTTCTCTCTTTCCGACGCCCTGTTCTTTATATCAAGCTTACTTTCTTTATAACACAACTTTCTTTGTTTATGGCACAGTTTTCTTTCTTTATATCACCACTTTCTTTTATGTCACCCCTTTTTTTATCACACCACTTTCTTTGTATATGACACAGCTCTCTTTCTTTACGACACAGCTATCTTTCTTTCTTTCTGACACCCCTTTCTTTAATTATCACACCCTTTCTATCTATACCACATCTTTCTATTTACTCTCGAGTCTCTGTGTTTGTCTTTTGTTTTCATGGTGACAGCGACGCAGGTGGATGAAAATAAACACTAAAACAATATTATGTTATGTTTTTTTTTTCCACTTTTACTTTACCGTGACCAGTTATGAACAAACAAACTTGATAAACTTGTAAGAGAAATTAAATCTACTTAAGAAAATGGAGAATAAGACGAAGTACAAGAAGATAGTGTTTTTTTTTTCTTCCAAATATGATTCATTATTAAGACTCGACACACCTCCTTTCCTTCACCTTAAAAAAAAAATAAAATGTGAGCTATAATTGGGATTAATCTCTCTCTCTCTCTCTCTCTCTCTCTCTCTCTCTCTCTCTCTCTCTCTCTCTCTCTCTCTCTCTCTCTCTCTCTCTCTCGTCATTGATAACCCAACGGTGAGGTGATACATGGTCACGACACACAAGAGCTGACTGTTACGACACTCCCATAACAGCTTGTAAGTGGTGATCCCGTGACGTCAATACCAGGCTGGCTTTTACGGTAGGTGGGTGATAGGGAAGGGGGGGGGAGGTGATGGGTGGGGGGATAGTTGAGGGGAGGATGGTTGGTGAGTAGATAGGGGAGGGATGGCTGGTGATAGTGATGGTTGGTGGAGGGATGGCTAGGGGATGGCTGGTGATAGTGGAAGGAGAGAGGGGGTGATGGTTGGTGATAGTAAGGGAAGGGGTTGGGAGAATATGTAGGCGTTAGTGAGGGAGAGATGGTGAGTGTAGGTAGGTGATAGTGGAGGGAGAAGGGATGCTGGTGAAAGGGGGAGAGAGTGGAATAGGAAGGGGGGAAAGGAAAGGGAGGGTTGGAGAATATGAGAGAGAGAGAGAGAGAGAGAGAGAGCAGAACTTGGACTTTTAACGTTGGTGTGGGATCAATCAGACACACAGCTCCAATATAACCTACACTGTACGGTATCGGGGGTCATTCTCCTCCTCCTCCTTTTCTATGATACATCGCTTCAGGGAATTTTGTTTTTACGAGGGTTGAAAATATTCTCCGGGATATTTACACTCATAGATGTAAAAGTGTGTGTGTGTGTGTGTGTGTGTGTGTGTGTGTGTGTGTGTGTGTGTGTGTGTGAAGGAAATCACCTCTAGTAATCAGTAATTAATACGCAAATGACTTGAACGACTCAATATGAAACAGATTCGGCCAGCGACCTCGACTAAACGCGCATTACTTGGTGATTATCATTAAGTGAATTTCAAAGTCTCTCTCTCTCTCTTAATTACAATTTTCTCTTGATCTTCTCTTTACATTTTTTCCCAAATTATAAAAAAAAATATTGATATTCCCGGTAAAATATATTAAACCTATATAAAAAAAGACAAAAATAAAAAATAATTATACTCTAATTTAATCTATTTTATAACTTATCAATAAGTTCATCAATCATATAGGATTTTTATAACGTGGAAAAATTAATATATATTTTTTGTTATCTAGTTTTTCATATTGATATTTCTTTCTATCAACAATAACAAAGTAATGCAAAATAGAATGTGTGATTTTTTTTAATTTACCTGTGACTCTTAGTAATTTTCCCCCATGCAGGTGTTAACAGTGAAGGTCCTCCCGTCCACTCTACGCACTCCTCACTCCCTCCCTCCCCCACCACACACTCAACACCCCCTTCCCCCTACACACACTCCTCACCCTCAACACGCACTCTTCCCTCCCCACCCCCAAAAAAAAAAACGAAAAATCATCGAAAAACAATAAATTACTCAAAAATTAGCAACAAATTTTTACAAATAGTTGGAACTATTATCAAGAGACAAATGATAAAAGAAAAAATCCTTCAAGACTCAAGTTTGTTCGTTCCGGAGATTTTCTTAGGAACGCATCAGCCGAAATATTATTGAAAAACTTTGGGGTGGTAGTGCAGAGGGGGAGAAAGGAGGGAGGATAGGGATGAAGGGGAGGGAGCGAAGAGAGGGGAGAGGAAGGGAGGGGGGGCGAAGAGGAATGGAGAGACAGGGTAGGAGAGGAAGGGAAGGAGCGAAGAGGGAGGGAGAGAAAGAGGGAGGGAGGAAGTGAGAGAGCGAAGAGGGATAGAGAGAGAGAGAGGGAGTGAGGAAGGGAGGGAGAGAGGGAGTGAGGAAGGGAAAGAGCGAAGAGGGATGGAGGTGAGGGAGAGATGGGAGAGAAGAGAGGAGAGAAAGAATGAGAGAGAGAGGGAAGGGGGATGGTGATCAAGATGTGTGAGAGAAGATGTTAAGGCTGGTTTTATTGTGTCTCACCTGCTGTTACACTACACTACACTACACTACACTACACTACACTATACTACACTACACTACACTACACTACACTATACTACACCCTTTTATTGTTGTTATGAGTG